AAATACATCGCCCGGCTGGGTGTGGTTTAGCGGTTGTGCGTCGACCTAGGATCCAGGCGATGGGGGTTTGATTCCCCATCAGGGCACATGCCCCGGTTGTGGGCTGCGGCCAATCAGTGACTCTCTCATCATTGATGTTTCTATCTCTCTCTCTCCCTCTCCTTGAAATCAATAAAGATATATATATATATTTAAATGCATCAAATTAGACTTGAGATTACCTGAAATATTTGGAAAATATTTCTGAAGAAAATGCTTGTCAAGTGAATTATGAAGCATAGGCTAGAGTCTGAAGAAAAGGAAAAGAAGGATGTCTCTGTAGAGGGGCAAACATGTACAAAGTATGGGCATGGAAGACAACAAAGCTTCTTATGGAAGCTAAGAAATTTGGTGGGGCTAGAGCACAGGTTGTCTATGCTAGCGGGAGGATGAAGCTAGAAAGATAGGCCCAAGCCATATTCTGATGGGCTTTGGCTATGAAACAAGGAACATGGGTATGAAGCTAAAAGTCTTGGGGAGAACAAATAAAAAATTTAAGAGAAATAAGTAACTTGTTGGCTGCTGGTTGGAAATAGGTAGACCCATTAGGAGACCATTGCAGAAAACCAAATGAAAAGTGATGAAGGTGGTGAGGATGACCAGTATGGGATGAATATGGAAGCTATTTAGACAACAGAGTCTCTAGTTCTTGGTGACTGATTGTGTGGGGTAATAAAGGAGAAAGAAACAGATAATTTCTGGCTTGAGTGAACTGATGGTGTCATTTATGTAGATAAGAGGAGTAAATTCAAGGAATGGTACAAGAAGATGAATTCAATTTAGGACTTTTAGTTCAAGGTGAATTTATGACTCTGAAGCATAGCTATTCAGTAGAAAGTGGGCTGCTTCTTAACTGGAGATTGAGATTTGGGAGTTAACCATTCATAGTGATAGATAAGGCCATAAATTTAAATTGATCACCTATAGAAAGTCTACAAAGTAAAAAGAGATCAAAGGACAGAACTTTGGGTAACATGAATATTTAAGGACAAGGATTTTGAAGGAGTAGTAACAGAGTTTGGGTGAAACCAAAAAACAGGGCTGTTACATAGGGTGAAGGAAGGAGTTTCAGGAAGAGGCCGCAGTCACTGTTGAGTGCTAAAGAGAAGGAAAGTAATGTATCTCTGTCATTTCATCCTGTCCAAGATGTCCACAGACATGTGGCCCATGCTGAAAGGCTCTTGATATTTGCTCCTGTCCCAAAAGGACCATGGAAACGTTTGGTCCATGAGTCATTACAGAATACAAACACTGAACCTTGTTCAAATTGTATGGACATTGTTTATTCTGTAATTCATGAGGAATCTTGAATTTCACATTGATTTTTGTTCTTCCTCATTATGAAGTTCAGCAAAGTTACTCTGAAGTCGATGAGCAATTGCTCTTGAGTATATATCAACCTGATTATTGACTTTCTAGTCATTCTATCTGTGAATAGTTTCAGTGATACAAATTTGATTCTGTTGGTATTGCCATGAGGTTGGCTGCTGTACGTGAGTGTAGCCACCAAGAACCTGGATGATAATTTGTCCATGGTTCTGCAGTTCATCTTTTCATACTTTAAGGACTTTCTGTCATGGACCAAATGTTTCCATGGATGTTTTGGACCGGACCAAATCTCAAAGACCTTTTGGCGTGAACCAAATGTCTTGGTGGACGTTTTGAACAGGACCATGTCCACTAATCAATTTTTCACACTTTGAATACTTATGGACTGAAATTAGAGTCTTCTAAATTACATTTTTGTAAGACTCAAATTGAACAGTTAAGGCAAAATGAACTTTTAGACCTTTTTTTATTTCTTTCACAAGCAGCTATTACTGATATAACCACCAGGTACAAAGGTGTCTCTTAGTTGAGAATTGTGAACAGAAACATCTAACCTCTTACTTAATGATTGCTTTTGCACAACCCTCATTCCAATGAGGGTTTGGAATTTAGCATCATTGTGGGGAGAATATGTTTTTCTCTGCCTCCGAGCCTGAGAGACCTAAGCCCATCTTTCCCATTATCTATTTCTGATGTTAGCTGTGAATTTCCCTAAGTGATGAATTGCTTCATTGAATTTTCACTTCCTACTCAATTCTTTATAAGTTAAAGGAAGAAGAATAGCCAAGAAACAAAAAGGCTTTTATATACAGAAAGTAAAAGCTGTGCATTCTGAAACCATGCAGTTTTGAGCTAAAAGCATCAGTCTGTAGTCATATTTTAATTTTGCTGCCTGCTGAAGGACGTTCTCTTCAGCATTAAATATGACCTGACTTGTCCAGTTCCTCTGCTATGAACTTGAATCTATTCCTTTCTTGCCTCATGGTGAAATCCTCTGAAGATAAGATATACATATACATATACATATGAATGTGAATAAATATAAGAAGATATTTTATAGAAATTGTAGCAATAGTGAAAGGAAAAAATTATTTAGAAGAGTTTTGTTTATTAAGAAAGAATTTAGAGGAAAAAAATGTTCACCAAAATTTTGTGAAATTAACCAAAAGGTTCACTGTGGTTATCGCTGGGTAGAGGAATTGCATCTAATTTGTATTTTCTTAATTTTACTTGTCTACATTTTCTACAATGAATAAATATATTTTCTGAAATAATATACAAAAGTTTGATTGGTGGTTTTTTTAAGGCAAGTGCCTTTATCATGATGTTATTGCTACTAAAATAGTTCTCCATTATACCGTCTTAGTTTTGGACAACTGCAGCTTAGTATCTCTTTCTCTAAGAAATCTTCCTGGCCTAAATCAGAGAAGCTGTCATGCTGCTCTGCCACTAAGGCTGCAGGGCTGTTGTTTTTATGGTGTCCATTGGTCATTCATACTTACTGAGCATCCATGTGCTGGCTTTTGCGGGAAAATAAAAGATGTTTCTGTCTCTCTCTCTCTCTCCCTCTCCCTTTTTTCTGAAATCAATAAAGATATATTTAAAAATAAATAATAATGAAAATAAAAATTGTGTATCAGTCAGCTGTTGCTGGGGAACAATCACAACATTTTATTGGCATAAGCAATAAAATTTTATTTCTGATTACATATCTTGGGTTCAGCTGGAGAGACTCTTCTTAGGCTACAGGTCAACAGGTCAGCCAAGTTGGCTCATTTTGGGGCCCAGGCTAGTGGGTTAATAGCTACCATGGTTTGTTCTTCTCATAATGATGGCAGAATCGGAAGGGGACAAATCCAACTATACAAACACATATCTGCTAACATCCCAGGGGTCAAAGCAAGTTAGATGTGAAGTCTGCAGTTAAGGGATGGTGTGGGACACTCCTACCATGAGTGTCCTTGGCCCTGTGCCCAAGATAAGGGTATGAATATATAACACTACCACAGGGGAATGAAAAATTAGGACTAGTAATTTTATCTACTATACCTACTTCCTTGTGTACATTTATTTATTCATCCACCAATCCACCTGTCTTACACATAAAAAATATAAATATATACCATAGGCATATATGTAATATACATATGTATATAGAGATACACATGTACACAAGATAATATAAAACATGTAGCTATGTGTAAAAATTCTTTATGAATCACAAAAATGGGATAGCATATGGAAGGAAGCAGGGTTATTAGCTAAAGAAGCTAGTGTAGTAGGCCTGGTATATATTGAGAAGGTCTTGGAGAGTGTCATTCATATTGAAAAACAATAAAGAGTAAATATTAAAGCATTCCAGGGATAGGACCAATGGAAATTTGATGCTAAATTAGACACTGAGACTGGGGTGGCAAGGAGTTAGGGTTAAGATGGAGTGAAGGAGATGATATTAAAAATGTCTACAATTCTGTGAACCTAGGGAACTTGAGGAAATCATAGTAGCATTAACCAGGAGAAGGAATTTGTGAAGGGTGACTGGAAGGCAGGAGCTGGTCTTACTTTGCATATATAGGTTTCAGGTTATCAGCAAATATCAAATTGGCCATGTTCTCAAGATGATGGGACTGTGGTGGTGCGTTGAGACAGGAGCACTAATGAACTTCGTTAGTGATCATGAACTAGTTTCTAATGTCTCTTCCAGCTCTTAAATTCATAATCCTTTGACCTCTGTTGTGACTTACAGTTGGAAAAATATGAACAAAATGTTTCCCCAAAGAGTTTAGAGATAGAGGAAAAAAATAAGACTTATATGGCAGGTTCCAATAATGTCCTCCAGATATATGTTCTTGGCCAGCAGAGTGTTGTTGTTCTTGTTCCTTTTTAATTATTTTTATTTTTATTTTTTAAATTTGAGAACCTAGAGGCTGGATATACTTCTTAGTCAAACCACAGACTTCATCAGCCCCTCTTGTCTCAGATGCACTCACTTCACACATTTACATTATGACCTAGTCCTAGAAGATACTTGGGATTTGATCCCTGCTCTGAGTCTTGGGGCTTGCTAATTGATGATGGGAGTGTGAAAAATATTCAGAGAAAATCAGGGAAAACCAGAGGTAGGCAAGCACTGAGTCATGAAAGTCCAGATTAAATAAAATTTTAGAGAAACACTAAAATTAGCTGATTGTTCCAGAAAGCTGAAAACCGAGCTTGTTAAAATCTTTGTTCTTTTACAACTTGACTAGATTTAAAACTCTGCCAGGAGTAGAAACAATGTCTTTTCTATGTTCTGAAACTTTATCTTACAGTGAGATTAAAGTGCTACACTCTACGGGTGCTCCATCCATTTCAAAAGGTAGAAAAGCAGGGAAGGGCGTGGAAACAGGAAGAAAAAAGATAACAAAGGATTTAAAGTTGCCTCACTCTTCCAAATAATAATAGAGCTCTTGTCTAGAATAAACCAGGTGAAACAGATCACTTTGCACACATACCACGAGAAGCAATGAGAGGTTAGAAATAGGTTTACTGTGCGTGGGTGGAGTCAAGAAACTTTTTTTTTTCATTAACCACTTTCTCTAGTTCAAATGTCTCTCCTAAACCACTTTTCTTCTGTTCCACCCCTTCTGTAGGAATGACTTGTTGATGGTCTGTCGCCAACTGAATATGGAAGAGTCTGTGGCTGAGATCATGAACCAATTGGGCGCAGATGAAAATGGGAAGATTTCCTTTCAGGATTTTATAAGATGCCGCATGCAGCTTGTGCGAGAAATTAGGAAGGAGGAAGTGGGCCTTTCTGAGAAGTCAGACAACTCCTGTAGAAAGAAGAAGCTAAGGGACAGAATTGCTTCCTGGCCCACGAGCAGTGACAACAGTTTGGGTAAGTACAGCCAGGTGACAATTTGATAGTACTCCATCGGCTCTGCTTCCGTGGCCTGTGCAAATGAGTGGCCTGCCAGCCTGTTGCCGGCTTGTCCCTGGGCTGTCGTCTTGGCCACACTTCCCTGGGTGAGTGCTTGCTATTTCCCCCTGCTCTGGACTATAGCTTCACAGTTCCTAGTTTACTGCTTTTTTAATTTTAGGTCTTCCCTTTTCCAAGCATAGTCATGCATTCAAATAGCTCTTAGAGAGGAAGGGCATGTTGGATGGGAACGGTGGTAACTGCATCAGCAGGCCTCAGAAACTATTTGGGGACTTCTCCAAAGCCTAGTGCAGTGAGGTTATTAAAAACATTTCTTTTTTATTTAATGTTTAAAATTTTTTCTATGAACGTAGTTTTTCTGTTCATAAGTGTTATTGTTTCCTACTACTGCAAGATAAGCAATTGGAAAGAAACTTCTTAAAAACGTTGATGATTATTGAAGCTGGGTGACGGGAATGTGGAATTTATTGTACATATTTTTGAGCAAACAAATACATATTTTCTAACATGTTTGCAATTTTTCACAATAAAAAGTTTAAAAGAAAAGAGGCATCCTAAAGGGTAGCCTGAACAAGACAGAGGAAAATATCTGAATTTTCTACCTATACTTGAGGGACTTATTTTTCCTTAAAAATGTCTCCTGAATCTCTTTCTATTTACTTCTGTGGCATATAGGATCTAGTGGCAAGAAGCAAACTCCATGTTGATTGTCCATCGTCTGTAAATATATACTAATTAGCATGTAATGCCCCAAACACGGGCGCGCGCGCGCACACACACACACACACTGAGGAAGTGGGCCTTTCTGAGAAGTCAGACAGCTCCTGTAGAAAGAAGAAGCTAAGGGACAGAATTGCTTCCTGGCCCACGAGCAGTGACAACAGTTTGGGTAAGTACAGCCAGGTGACAATTTGATAGTACTCCATCGGCCCTGCTTCCGTGGCCTGTGCAAATGAGTGGCCTGCCAGCCTGTTGCCGGCTTGTCCCTGGGCTGTCGTCTTGGCCACACTTCCCTGGGTGAGTGCTTGCTATTTCCCCCTGCTCTGGACTATAGCTTCACAGTTCCTAGTTTACTGCTTTTTTAATTTTAGGTCTTCCCTTTTCCAAGCATAGTCATGCATTCAAATAGCTCTTAGAGAGGAAGGGCATGTTGGATGGGAACGGTGGTAACTGCATCAGCAGGCCTCAGAAACTATTTGGGGACTTCTCCAAAGCCTAGTGCAGTGAGGTTATTAAAAACATTTCTTTTTTATTTAATGTTTAAAATTTTTTCTATGAACGTAGTTTTTCTGTTCATAAGTGTTATTGTTTCCTACTACTGCAAGATAAACAATTGGAAAGAAACTTCTTAAAAATGTTGATGATTATTGAAGCTGGGTGACGGGAATGTGGAATTTATTGTACATATTTTTGAGCAAACAAATACATATTTTCTAACATGTTTGCAATTTTTCACAATAAAAAGTTTAAAAGAAAAGAGGCATCCTAAAGGGTAGCCTGAACAAGACAGAGGAAAATATCTGAATTTTCTACCTATACTTGAGGGACTTATTTTTCCTTAAAAATGTCTCCTGAATCTCTCTTTCTATTTACTTCTGTGGCATATAGGATCTAGTGGCAAGAAGCAAACTCCATGTTGATTGTCCATCGTCTGTAAATATATACTAATTAGCATATAATGCCCCAAACACAGGCGCGCGCGCGCACACACACACACACACACACACACACACACACTGAGGAAGTGGGCCTTTCTGAGAAGTCAGACAGTCCGCTGCTCCTGGCAGTGGAACAGTTTAGAGCATTATTATTGAGTAATTGAAANGTCCACTGCTCCTGGCAGTGGAACAGTTTAGAGCATTATTATTGAGTAATTGAAATAAAAATGCCCTCTTATCCCCTATGCCTTGCTATCTTAATGGGCTCCATTTTAGTTTCAAATCAGATGTCCGATGGAAAGAAGTATAAAAAAATGTACTGTTGTGAGAGAAGCCTAAGAAAAACTGAGATTTAACGGTTAAGTGTCAGAAAGACTTTATTGTCAGCCCTGACATTTAACAGCACATCCCCAGCAGGGAGTCGCGTTGGCAGAAAAAGACCCGTCAAAACATTGCATGCTCAATTTGGAAGAGGGATTTTGAGCACGGCTGGGGTGGCCCAGTGGTTGAGCGTCGATAGATTCTTTTTTCCCAAATGTTTTCCACAGGATGCCAATTTCATGGGATGATCACAAATATTAGATGAAGAAAGAATTCCTTTGTCAAGTACATTTGAAAACTTTGGGTTAAACTAGATTAATCGTTTTCTTTACTGTGAGACATCTCAGATGATTTTATGTGCTAATGTTTCTTGTGAATCTCCAGGAAAAGAATAAAATATAGAGCATTTCCCACATTTAATTGACCATAACTTTTATTTACAAATCTTTCCTTTGGCCTTGAATTCTCTGTTCAAATATACATTGGGGAGAAATTAAGATATCTGAACAACTAGGTCATAAAAGATTTTTATATCTATTTTAAGTCATCATAGAAATAATATTTTTTAAATGTCAGGTACCAGCTGTATAAAATTTAATAGTTATGTCAATAACAATAATAAAAATGGTTAAAAATTACTAATATTTACTAGGCATTTTATTTGTATTATATGCTAAAAAGATAAATCCCAGGTTCACCACTGAGTTGCCATGGGACTAGGCAACATTCCCAACTATTCTGAGCTTCAGTTTTCTTATCTCTAAAGATAGAGTAGCAACACCTGCATTATAGGGTAGTTGGAAGGACTTAGTGAGATATGATTTGAAAGTTCTACACAGTGCTTGCAACTACCTACCAAGTTTAGAATAGAATCCTCCTTATATAGAGGACACTGAGACTCAGAGAAGTTAACTTACTTGCTGTAAACCACAGAGCTCCTAAGAGTTGAGGCCACTAAGAAGTGGCTTATTGAAATAGATGATTCTTTGAGTCCCCTGCAACTTTTACTTTAAAAAACTGTCTTGATTATCAAGATGCAAACACTGCCACTCAGAGACCACTCCTAGAAATTGCAGGCACACAGTCCTCAGGGTGTTGAGAAAGGTTTAGAGGACAATTCCTGTTAGATTTATCCCATTTCTTTGTTAGCAAGTGACAGTATATAGTATACCAAAATAGTTATGAGTTTTTGTGTATGCTGCCTAAATTCTCAGTGGAAAACAAATAATCTAGATTCAACGTAATTATTTGTAATTTTCATTTTTTAAATTTATGATTAAAAAATTTTAAAGTTTAAAAATGTAAATTACAGTTTTTAAATTGTGATTTAAATTTTTAAATTTTTTTGTGATTAGGACTTTAGAGTTTTAAAAAAGTTCTAGCATTAGGTATTTATCGTATATGTTAGCAGTTCCAACAGCACCTTTATTAAAACATGCCTTTTAAATAAACAGGTGTGGTTTTGTTTGTTTTTTTACTTCAACCAAGCTGTAAACTTTACGCATGATTTCCACATATGTGTGTCAAATGTTGAGTACGTGAAAGAGGTAGTGCTTCAGGGTGATGGCCATTGAGAAAAACACGAATTGCCTGAGGAGTACTCATGTAGGCCTTCAAACTCACCTAATGAGCTTGTTACAAGTCTGTGCTTTTCCTATATTGGGGGGCACTTGTTTTTCTTTCTTTGGTCAGGTCTCAGAGAGCCCAGTAACTTATTTCAATCAAATCCCCATGGTTTTAAAACATTGTTTAAGGCAGCAGACATTAAAACCTGCTAATTAATACGACTAAGTTTAATTTATGCTAAGATTAGAACAGTGGGCACAGTTTCCAATAACCTATGTCTTCAAAGACTCTTTATAGGCTTTTCCTTGAGATGTATTCCCACCTGATGTGTCAGCCTTCATTACTGCTCTGATAATACCCCCGTGGTCCAGAAGGAACATAAAAATCACTGAAGTTCCTCAGAAAAACTAATAGCATGTGTGTTCCTTAACAGGAAGTCAAAGCAAAAAGTTAGATCAAAGAATATATGGTTTGGACAGGAAGGACTCCAAACCCTCCAAGCCTGAGGGAGGAAATGTAAGGAGATATCCTAATTCCGTGGCAGATTTAAAGAAACAAATAAGCAGCCCCTTGACTTTTGGTTTAGTATCTTGCTTTTTAAAAAAATTAAATCCACAGTTATTTAACAGACACAAAACCTGTCTAGTCCTGACACACATTCCGAATTTCCAAAATAAATGTTACTCTTCAATATTGTTGGGATTTTTTTTCTCTGTATGTAAATATGTTTTCTAAACCCTTATAACAGGTTAAATTAATTGAGACAAGAAGGCATTTTCCAATCCAATTGGATTGGCCCTAATAGGTAAGGGTTCTGGCTGGTGAATCAAGAAAGCAAAAGTGTCTTAAATCCCCTGTGGGCCCTGGGTAAGCAATTAATAATTAACACAGCCTTTTCAATAAAGTCATCATGAGTGAGTCATTGTTAAAAATACTGCCCGGCTGGCATAAAACCAGACTAGTCACACAATTTTTAGCCCCAACTGAAGGTTTCAGGAAGTTTGGCGAAATTTTTTTGCTGTTGTTGTTTTACATACTCTAAGCTTTGTGTCATAGTGTGAACAATATGTTTATCTAATTTCTTCTACTCCTTAATTAGGAGTTAGAATAGGTTTCTAAAATCTGTAAGTAATAGGTACTATTTTATGTTTTTTAATTGCATACTGAGAATACTGTCAGGCAACTCTCTGTAGATTTATTTCTTTAGATTTAATTTGGTTAGAGTTGGTCAGTTCTTTGATTAACTTAGTCTCCTTGTATCTCTTTTTATTAATCTTTGTCTTTCCTGCCCTTGAGCTGTCTCCAATCCTCGTTACTTACCTGTTTTTGCTTCTCAGATTGGCATTGCCATTGTCCATATCTGGGTCCAAATTACTACGGTGTCCTCCTAACTTCTTTCTGACTGGTTTCAGTTGATGCTGCTATGACTTCTAATATAGTTAATATGTACTCATGGTGAAATGCACTGATTCTCTTCTGTCCACTTAACAGACTCTCCTATATCACCTCTCAACTCTGTTGGATGTCAAGACTCCTTACATCTAGTGACCTCATCCTACCTTACTTTGTTCCCCAGTATGTCACCATAGAGACCCTTAGCTTCAATAATATTGGTCTTATTGGTACATACTCCTCAAACCAACTTCTTGAGTTTTGTTCCTTCGGTACTGTTAGAGTTTTTGGTGAAAAATGGCAAACACCAAACACTAATAGTTCGAAAGGAGAGAGAGAGAGAGGGAGAGAGACATGAATGTGAATGTGAATATATTGATGTCTAGGCAGGTAGATCTAGCACGGATGGATCCAGAGTTTAAATGCATCAATCTTCTCCCCTCCATGTCTCAGCCTTTTCCTTCAGAATTGGCTTTATTCTTGGCTTCCGTGTTGTGGCCTCCTGCAGCCACAGGTTTATACCCATTCTGTTGAGTAAACACAAAAGAAAAGAGTGATCTTCTCTTCATAGAAATTCCACGAAAGTGCTGGAAATTGGTCTCACCAGCTCTTCTTGGATCATATATCTATCCCTGAGCCAGACCCTCTGGCCAGAAAAATGCAGTGGTCTGGTTGGCCAGATCTGGATCACACATTCCGCCTGTAAGGCTGGGGTAGAGTTGTCTCTATCCCTATTATATAGACTGAGAGTTAAAGAAAGGGGGCCAGGAGTCAAGGTGCTGTCGCTACACAAAGAGCAAATGGATGCTACAAAGGCAAAAAGAACAGATGTCCACCACATGGTCCTATAATATAAATCTTGCCTTCTTTCTTTTCTTTGTATATGTAACCTTGCAATCCTCAAAAGGCTTTAATAGCACTACATAAAATTGTACACATGTATATTTAGCAA